ACGCTTGTTGCCTTTTCTTCAGACAATGGACAGAGCAAGGTTCCAGGAGACCGGTATTTTCAAGAAAAAGCCTGCAGATTTGATCCAAATCTTTAAGGTATCTGACAGTTACATAGAAGAATAATACAATTTCCGGATAATTATACTTCCAATTCCACACTTTTGAAAATTTGATCACACTTATTGAAGTAAATTCCTCCTTCTATGCTTCTTCTTTGACAACATATCTATTGATGTGTAATTTAATGAGGGCTTGTGGTGCATATAGTGTGTTTCTTTTCTTGAACTTTAAGGTATATTGCTGACGCCACTGAGTGAGGAATATTACAATGGCTTGTCCACAGGATTATTCTAAAACTAACAGTAAGTCGTAAATGGCAGGATGTCCAATCTAAAGTGAGCGATGTCGTTCTTGGGAAGGAAAAGCCAGTTGAAGAATCAACCCCAGAATATGAGAAGATGAAGAACTACATCTTTGAGCTTGAGGACCATTTAGCTGAGGCTCAAAAACATGCATATCGTCTTGTCAAGAGACACAGAGGTAGGAAAAATCTAGTTTAAAGGCATTGAGTACTCCGTGTAAGTGTATTTGCACTTCAGATATTTAATACTGTCAGCACTTTCTATTTCACTCTCTTAAGGAGATATCTATCCCATTCTCAAGCAGTGAGAGACATGGTGATTCAGGTGCCATTGCCTTCTTTCGACCTTGAGCTTCTGGGAGGAGTCATCCTATTCCTTCATCCCTTAACCAAGTGGGCTAATTTATTAACTAATGTTAAAATTCGTATCAGTAGTTTGATCCTCATTTTTGTGCCCGAGTTATAGTGAAAGGAGTTCATCAACAACTTTTCTGAGAGAAAACAAGGTTAACCAATACATTGGACAACTCACGACCTTTGGTTCATCATCAACTTCTTTCTCTTCAATGGGAAAGTTCACTTTTGTAAATCCAAATACTGGATTGGAAAAGATTAAAGTAGAACTGTTATTGTGTGAAGCTAAGATCCATCTGCAATTCTGTCAGGGAAGACGGGGGGGGACCTAAATTAGATAATAACGATTAAGCCATTTGTAGAATGTGTACTGGAGAAACTCGAAGTGAACTAATGAAAAGGCCTCTTCTGTTTCCCGTCATCAATGTGAACTATTTGGTCAAACACTGTCGTATTTGACATATCTTGATCTCCTTCTCTTTGCCTCACAGTTTTCAATCCGAAGATGGCATATGACTTTTGTTATCTCATCATGTGTTTGTGTTTCTAACATATTGTGTGCTTTAGTTTCCCTTTGCTCTCCTTATGTATATGACAAACTTGTCATTCCAAGCAGCTGACTTATGGTTTTTCTTGTTATTTCAGAATTGGGCGAGTCTCTCTCAGAATTTGGTAAGGCGGTCAAGCTTCTTGGTACTTGTGATGATGATGCCCTTGGCAAAGCATTTTCAGAACTTGGGGCAAAGGCTGAGATAATATCAATTAAGCTGCAGAAAGAGGTATTTTCAACAAAGAATAACCCATGGTCTTTTCTCTTATTCAAAATTAGGTAATGATAACAGGCAATGCTCTGTCACTCAGGCCCACCACCTTTTAATGAACTTCGAAGAACCTTTGAAGGATTATGTTCGAGCTGTGCAATCTATTAAGGTGAGTGGTCAATTTTGCTTGTAAGAAAAAGGTGTTTTTTACCAATCAAAAAAAGTGAAAGAAACAGTGTTATTTACCCAACAAGTGGATGGAATTTTTCAGTTCAGTGTCATCAAAGGCTAAAAGACAAAAACGTGGGTGCATTAGTGAAGAAAGCACATGATGAAGTTAATTATAAGCACATGATGAAGTTGCATACACACGCAAGAAAAAATAACTATAAAGACAACTGGTAATTATATGGGTAGAGAAATTGCAATATATCAACTACGTTCAGATGCCATCACAATTTTTAATTAATATGCAATGGTACAATTTAAAGTTTTTTCTTAAGATCTAAGATCAAATAGTTTTCATACAAAATTTATAATTTTCTGTTCTTGATCATTTAGTATTTTAGTATATCCATATGTAACATTTGGGTAACAGTAATAGATCATTTTCCAACCCTGGTTTGAGCTGAGCTTCAGGACTCGGGCATGCCTTTTAAGGCAATAAGGTTCAACTTAAACAAGGTGAAGCACCGAGTCTGCCTGGAGCCTTGCTTCAGGACTTGAGTACATTTGACAAATACTGCATCCTCAAAGATAAAACAACCGTTGCATCTGTATTTGTGCTTTCAGCTTTTTCTTTGCTAAGAGTAACCTAGTGTTCTGTTGCTCTCCTACACTAATATCCGTCCTAACTTTGAACAGGCTACAATAGCAGAGAGAGCAACCGCGTTCAAGAAACAGTGTGAACTGGCCGAGACAATTAAGTTTAAGGAAATTGATTTGTATGTCTCAACACCTATACTGCTCTTCCTCCTGTTTTGTTTCTTTTGGTGGTTTCTTAAATCTGATCTTGATTTGCATTTGGTGGTTGTTCTGTTGAATTGGTGCAAACTTTCCTTCGACTATGTCATATTTATACACTGACCTGGTCTATGACCCTTCTGCATTCCAGGGGTATGGGGAGGGTTAAATATGCACTATGATATCTTAAATCTGATAAACAAGGCTTCATTCTGTTTTACTGTTAGTATGGCCTAATCTGCTACTCTTATCATCCTGGCATGTTTAGTGTGAGACGTAGTTTGATGTTGATGTATATACTGTCTAGGTCTTGTTCTACTGGAGAAGTTACAATTTTTTTAAATCGGCTACAAGATCTTCAAACTTTGCAGTATGAGAATTTGGTGTATTTAATTAGTTTATCATTGTCCTGCAAGTTGTATATAAATACAGTTTAATTGCTGATTTCACCTACATTGAGCTCAATGTTATAATTGTGTTTATTAGCCATCATGTTGGCTCCTTGATTTGCGTATGTTTACATGGGTCCCTCTTATTTCCACCCCTCCTCCCGACCTCAGCCTCTCTCCTCTTTTCTTTTGTGAGAATAGCCATATAGGTACTTTTACTCTGCCAGTGGTATACTGTTGCATAATATTATGACGACAAACAATATATGTTTTTATACAAACTTACATAGATGGGGCCTAAATGGAAGGCCTTTTAGCATCATGTGTCGAACTGTAACTATTAGGTTCAAGATTAGATGGTGCCAAGTGTGTATTTGATTTAGTGAAAAATGAAGAAATTACTTTAAGAATTTGATCCACTGAAGAGTGAACTGAAGTCACTTTTTGCAATTTTATTTAATGTAGCGTCCTCCTTGTCTTGAAAAAATATCTGCGTCGTTCTTGCATATGTAATATGCATCTCGTAGGTGAAAAGTTGCCATTATAAACAGACTTCTTTTTCATCTTTCCTATCCTGTAAATCTGCAAAGTAAAGAGTCGAAACATGTGTTTGTTGCTTTATCTAAGACAGGGAAATATGCAATCCTATTAATAATCTTGTTTAGTCATTAAGTGGAGCATCTCAGAGTCTCTGTTCTGAAGTGAAATTCGGCTCTTGCCTTTTTATTGCAGAAATAAATACAGGCTGACACGATCAGAGAAGTTGGCTGAGGCTGAGCGCGAGTATGAAATGGTCAGTGTGTTTAACTTGTTCTTTTTTTCAGTTGGCTAGTCGTGGAACTGCCCAGGCAGGTACTTACATTGTGTTTCTCTGGAATACAGCTTAAGGCTGAAGGGGAAGAAACATCGAGAAGATTTGATACGATAGTGAGGCTTATGAACGAAGAGATTGCCCGATTTCAAGAACAGAAGACATCGGATATGGGACTTGCTTTCCATGAATTTGCCAAGGGACAGGCACGGCTATCTAATGGCATAGCAGATGCATGGCGAAGTCTTCTTCCCAAGCTTGAAGCTCACTCTTCATAATAATTTTACAACAATATGAAGACGGACTTCAGCACAATCTGCTCTCGACGTGGGAGCATACATGGAAATTGTTGCATTCAGTTTGCAAAAAAGGGTCTTTGAGAATTGGTTTTGTTGCTGCAGCTTGGTGGTTGTATGATTTTTTAGTTAGATACTTGTGGATCTTGTACAGCACCAAAGAGAAAAAACTGAAAATAGCTTTAAATTAATTTCTTTTTATCTTCCAAATGCTGAATAAACTTGTTTAATCCATAATTTTTTTTTAATCTTCCTCATCCTTCTAAATGATCCCAATTTCCATGCATTTTTTATTTGGATTCTCAGAGTGAGCTGTGTCTCTGTACCATTAGCTAAACTTTTGTTTGCAACAATATTAATGCAGTTCTGGTAAATCATCTATGATCCACAGTTCTACCTTAGAATGAGTTAGATTTATGTTCGCGGGTCTGAGAAAGGATCGGACCAACGTTAGAGGTTTTTCCAATATTGACTAATGACACAACATTGTCCTAGACTGTTCCATAAGAGATTTGTGTACTAAGCTTTCACTATGCATAAGATCTGAGGATCCCTCAATCTGGTGTACTAAGCTATCGCTATGCCAGGGTCCAAGGAAAAGTCGGATCACAGTCAAAGAGTTTCCATGTCAAGAAAAAGTATATAGAACATCTAGTACTAGAGAACTAAGATTTTTTTTGTATATTATTTTTGGACTAAATAGTTGATATCACTTGCTTGAGATGGAGCTTAGACTGTCCACCACTGATTTGCAAAAAGGCCTTATCCTATCGTCAACAACATGTTCACAAAATAACCATTTCTAACAAGCAAACAAATAACAAAACTTAAACAACAAAAAAAAAGGGAAGACAATTAGCCATGTCTTCTTCCTTAACAACCAAACAATTTTTTCACATAACACATAATTCTCAAGTGCAAATTTGTCCTTCTAGGTCTATTCCTCCTTCAACTTTGTTCATCACCAACAAGAACAACAACATTAACAATAGGTTCTTTAACCTCAATGAGTTTTCAAGTTACCAGAATTTGACTGTTGTGGTGAAAGCAGGTGGAGGCATTTCACCTAATGATCAAGATTATGAAGATGGGGTTTCTTTGGGAACAATGAAATTGCCAAAAGATATTGATCTTGCAAGATTTGAAACTCTACTTTTTCAGGTATTGCTTTTCATTGTGAATTTGTGAATTTTCATGTTGAAATGTCTACAGTCATTTGATTGCAATGACGACATACCAAGTGTAGTCTCATAAGTGGGATATGGGGAGTTAGAGAAGTTGTTTTCAACAGATCATTGGTTCAAGAAAATAACACGAGTGAAGAAACCAAGACAAAATACTAGAAAAGGAACAGCTAACTACAACAAAATAATATGATAAACGAATTACAAGGGACAATAGATAGTTACAAAAATCAAAGGAACAAGAAGTTATAAAAATAATTTAATTGTAATAATTATTTTTAATCCATTTAATTAGAAGTGGTAAGAATTAAGAGTATGCTAGTTCTTGAATCTCTAGTGGCTCTTCTCTTTGAAACCAAAGATTAAGAGAAGTGAACTGTTGTATTTATTTGTTAGTATAGAAAACCTCTGGTTCTTCCGTCTTTGACTAGAGGTCTCATGTTCGAACCTTGATAGGAAGCCCCAAATCTGAATTATCGGATGTTTAACCCGTAGACTTTCAAAGGGGTTCAAGAGAATGACTAATGCAGAAACAATGAGAGACATTGGCTAAGGCTCCCAAAATTGGAACTTCTGCTATATGAGGTAGGAGCTAGGGAGTATCCTCTTGTTTTTCGGAGACAAACTGGATGAGGCTCCGTAAAGGGTCTTCAACAACCACTTAAGGACTCGAGGCTATGACGTATAGAGCTAGAATATATATACCTAATGAGAGATGCTTTAGTCACATTTTGATTCATTAAGCAGCAATCTTTATAATGAAAGGACTAGTTTACAGCTAACACATTTGTTCTCTTAGAGAATCTCATTTCTGCATACATCACCTCGAGACCAAGAACAGAACGATGGAGAATTGAAAAGAAGTCATAACAAAGTGCCATATTCGTGTTCGTGGACTTTGTGCATTTGCAGATGACATTTGTTCATATTTGGACTATGTGTTTATTCTGGTGCATCATTTAACATGCAAATTCTGTGTCCTAATATTAACATAGAAAAGAAAGACGTTGTTTCTACTAGTGTCTTTGTCAATAAACTGGAATAGTGAGTATTCATATAGCCGACTCCAACTTATTTGGGATTGAGGCATAGTTGTTGTCGTTTAATGCTTACAAACCTTAGTATGTTAATGTTAACAAATGTTTTGTTTTGTGACTTGCAGTGGGCTAACAGCCTTTGTCAAGGAGCTATGCTGCCACTACCCATGCCTCTAAAGGTAATTCGTCCTCATTTCTAAGCTCGATATACTGTTTAGGAGAGTCATATCATTGAACATTGGATTATATACAACCTCGTGAACATTATAACCAATCAATCGAGAGTCAAAATATAAAGAAGTAAACATCAATTGTCCTTAGAACAAAAAAATAGGCAGATTCTGCTTTCTTTTTCCTGTCTTTTGACTTATGCAAACGAAACTACTATCCGTCTCAGCATAGTCATTCTTACGGAAAATGCATACATTGTTCGTGTTGTATACACAATGTTCATCAAGATGAGACTTAAAAGTTGAACTTTTCGTATACAGGTTGATAAAATTCCTCGCGGAGCCAGAGTTTGTTTCATTTCAGTTGATGATGCTCAAACTGAAGTTCTTGCATATATAGACTGTATGGTTTTCCCTGCAACTGAGACCTCACCTCCAATATTTCGAGCCATACGAAATGGACCCTCGAGAGATAAGGCACCTCCCGGGGAGCCAAGAATCATGAGAAGCCTCTTAGGTGCCCTTCAGAAGTCTGTTGAGATAGCTAGTGTTTAAAGTTGGAACAATTTTTGTATAGTCACAAAAAGTTCTTTCTTTCAACACTCTTTTTATGTATAAAGAACATTTCACTTCTTTAAACTCAATGAAACTTCATTACAAGTGAAGAATCTTGAGTGTCATACATAGACAATGCATGTAGTTAACTTGAAAAAGATTTGGTTTCCCGCCTGGTGTCCGGCACATACATTGGACATTGACTAATGTGGATATACGTTGTGAAAGATCCATTAAAGAGGAAAACACTCTCCAAATCTAGGATTTGTGCACCATTGCTTTGAAGATAAGATCTAAAAGCTTTATGCACCACTCGATTTTTGTTTACCATGAGTGTCTTAAAAAAATATTAGATATATTTTGACAATTATCCATATAATATACTGAACATAGTCAGATGAACACGGATTCATGTGACCAATTTTTAATACATATATTTGCCACTATTTCTAAAAAAAAATTCATGTCGAAAGCTCAAATAATGAAATCTTTATATGGAGGAATCAAATTCATCTCACTACAATGTTCCTAAAAGTTTGTAGTATAAAAATAGAATGTTACAAACTTTTAGAATAGCCAAAAATGCATAAACAATGTCATAAATGTTAAAAAAAAATTTAGACGATTTTTTAATATTATTTCTTTATACGAGTCATGATAATATGTATAAAATAAATTCAACCCCTTCTAGACAACTCTACAAGCGGGTAGTATTTGATTTACGTAAAACACTTTTCTTCATATTTTTTATAAAAAAAATATTATTTTTCTATAACTTTTAGAAATAATATGACTTCTTTTTTCTTTTCTTTATCTTCAATGAAATGAACAAATATCTTAAGTTTATTTTAGATGATAGATGTCTTAATTTATTTTTTCTTTTTTAAATTTTGTGTCGAATTAGATAAATTAATGTGAAGCTAATAGTTAAATAAGATATAATAACAACCTCAATCTCAAATATATTGGCATAAACTATTTGAACTACACTTCTTTGGTTAAGCTCAAGATTCGGATCATGAAGTCACGAACTCATTTCTAAGGTAGACTCAAAACAATCAAAATGAAAAAAACTCAATCATTAAATTACAATTCATATTGATTAAAATTGACATAATACATAAATAAGACGCTTAACTTGGCTTTAACGGACAACTATGTCCTTCAACTTTGAGTATGCACAAGTAGACACTTAAACTTGTATAAAATTGAATAAGTAAACACTCATGTTCTACATGACATAATACACGTAGGACACAAAATTGTCATGTAGGATGAATGTGTCTTTTTGTTCAATTTTATACATGACAATTTTGTGTCCTACGTGTATTATGTCATGTAGAACATGAGTGTTTACTTATTCAATTTTATACAAGTTTAAGTATCTACTTATGCACAATCAAAATTAAAGATCATAGTTATCTGTTAATGTGAAGTTAAGAGTCATGTTTATGTATTATGTCATCGTCATTTACCAAATAAATACTCTTAACTACCTAATCTTTAAGAAAGTAACATCCTAAAGCAAGTTGGCTTAGGTCAGCATTTTGAACTTTGGCATCATCCATTCCTCTTGTAAAAACTTTGATTCTCAGTATAATCCTCCAAAAAACCATATTTTTCTCAAAAGGGTGAAGATGGGTTCTATCTTTTTTTGCTTTCATCCATTAATACACACTTCTAAGCTTGATTCCTCAAAGACCCATGTTTTTCTTAGCTCCTCTTTGAGTTCAACTCCAAAGAACCAATCTTTATTGAAATACACATCAAGAACACAGCTTGTTTGTTCTTCTTCATCTAAAAAGGGCTCTGATTCTGTTCAATCATCTGGAGATAATAATACAAGGTTGGGTTTTCAAAATTCTTGATAATTTTCCATTTATTTTAGTTTTATATTTTGGTGGTGTGGTGATTATTTGCCCTTAATGATTATTCTTGGTGTGAGTTATTGGATAGTTTTTAGTTTGTTGAGTTTGGTAAAGGGGAATTCTTTGGATTTCAGGTAGATTAACCTTCATTTTACTGTATAATATATGACTGTATATGCCTGAAATATTGATATGGAAACTGTAACTTGTGAATTTGGATAGAAGTTCCCTTTATTTGAATTTGGTATTTTTAGTGCTGATTTGCCCTTGATGATTATGTTTGGTTTGAGATATTGGGTAAGTTTTGGTTTGTTGAGTTTGGTAAAGGTGAATTCTTTGGTCTCCTTCTTCGAGGCTCGACAAAAAAAACATATCAGTGTAATCCCACAAGTGGAGTCCGAGGAGGGTAGAGTGTATGCACTTCTTACAAACTTGGGAGGTAGAGAGGTTGTTTCCGATAGATCCTTGGCTCAAAAATAGAAATAGCAGGAGTGAAGAAGTCATGGAAAAATACTCCTTTGACAGTTTAATATGTCCATGTATATAACTGAAAAACTGTATCCATATTTAAAAAGTTTGTAACTTTACTATCTGGTTTCAAAGATTTTTTTTTTCTTATTTCATGGTTTTGCTTGAAGTTCTGATTGTTAAGGTAAGTGATTGAAAAAAGATCATTACAAAGTAGTTTGCTACATATAGCTTTTCTAGAAGGATGTTTTTTGGGGGGCTCGTTACTCGGCTGTATGTGAATTTGGTAGCATAGCCGTCTTTAGTTTGGGTAAATGAAGAGTGTTTATAGGTTGAAGGCCAGCAAAAAAATAGTTACTAACTATGATGAGTTCTCGAAATACTCGACTCATTTGGATTTGAGGCAGATTAATCCTCATTCGACAGTATAGTATGATCATGTATACGGCTGAAATATTGATATGGGAGAACTGTATATATGTTAAGAAGTTTGTAAGTTTAGCATCTGGTTAACATCCTTTTTGGTTCTTACTGGAGATTTGGTCCAGAAATTTTTACCTTTACTGAATGGTATTGTTTTACTCAAGTTGGATAGTTAAGCTTGGTGAGGTGAAGGAGATTATTATGAAGTATTTTTCTACAATGAAGTTCTTTAAAATGATGTTTTTGGACTGATAACTCTGTTTTATGGCTAGTGGAAACTTTTTAGAGTATAGAATGTCTCAAGTCAGGGTCATTGAGTAGGGGTGGTGTAGGTTGAAGGCCAGCGTAAAAATAGTTTCTAACTAGTATGAACTGTCTGCATACTGAACTCGTTTGGATGTTGGGACACACGTAGAGCAGAACGGATACACAAGATTCATATAGCTAAGACCAACTTCTTTAATATTGAGGAGTGGTTTATTGAGTTTATATTGATTGCTATTTTTGGACTCCTAATCTATAAGCTTGCATTTTTTAAGTTAACTAATGTTGGTCCATGTTTGTATGATGATTTCTATATCACTTACGGACCAGTGACCATACGAGATTTTGGTCAGATGCAGTTTCAAGAAGTCCAAGACAACATAAGCTCGTGTTGGACTCATATAAGCTTTGATTGATTGTATATTGCTTGCTGTTTTTGGACTCATAATCTAAAAGCTTGTGTTCTTTTGAAGTTAACTAATGTTGGTCCATGTTTGATTTAGTAATTTCTGCATCATTGAAGGACCGGAGACCGTTCAAGATTTTGGTCAGATGCAGTTTCAAGAAATCCAAGATAACATTAGGAGCAGGCGCAACAAAATTTTCCTCCTTATGGAAGAGGTGAGTTTTCTCAAGTTCTAACATTCTCTAAGGAACTGAAGGAACAACTTATTATTTCCTAAGGATTGTACTCTCAAATAGCTTCTTAAATTTCGGATTAATTTTTCAGGTACGTAGGCTAAGAATACAACAAAGGTTAAAGAACTCTAACACTAGAGGTGAGACTGGTGAATATGAAAATGAGATGCCAGATATCCCATCAACGATACCGTTTCTTCCTAACATGGTAATTTGCCGAGTCCTCTAGTAAACAACTGAAGTATACTAGGGATTCAATTGGTTTAGGAGGTTTTATACATCCAGTTAAAAACAAAAATCTCTGTTTCGGGAAAGTCATCTGTTCATGTTTTGGTTTGTCAAAGTATGCTATTTGACAGACATAGCGGATCGGGGATTCAAAGTTTATGAGTTCCTACAATGACCTCAAGTTAATATACAATAATAACTGCGTTCACAGTCAAAGGTTTGCTATAATTAGCAGCCTTTCTTACTTTGGAAGGAGACATGTTTTTAGCTAGCTTAGCATTGAGAACAAATAGATGTAAATCTTGGCAAGCATCGTCACTGCTGCAACACTTTTGAGTTGAGATATCTGGAAGCTTGCCTAATTGACTTAAATATATGAAACCGACATATTCTGTTTTGTTTGTCAATTGGCATTTTGTGAAACTTATCCTTTAACTTAGTTTCTTCAAGTTTACTCCTTTAGAAGTAACTTGGTGCATTTTTTGTTTGTATCAGACTCCAAAGACACTGAAGCAGCTTTATCTAACAAGCTTTTCATTTATAGCTGGGATTATGGTCTTCGGTGGATTACTTGCACCGATAGTAAGCTCATAAACTCAATTCTTTCCTTGCACCTTTCCTTATCCTTATTCTGGTTCTGAATTATGCATAACGGAACTATGACGTGATTTATTTGTGTATTATTGACTATTGAGTTACGAAGCCTTTGGACTACTGTAACTCTTTGACATTGCAGCTTGAGCTGAAATTAGGTTTAGGAGGCACCTCATACGAAGATTTCATACGGAACATGCATTTGCCTATGCAATTGAGGTACGTAGACTGCAACCTGAACTACATTTCAGATATAGAAAAGGTTGCTCAATTTTTCCTTACGTACATCGTTGAATTGTACAAAGTTGTTCACTGCATTGATCAAAAGGAGGATAACAAAAGATAAAAGACCACTTACATCGTCAGACTTTGAGAATCGACTTCTTTTTCTCTTCTTCTCAGCCAGGTCGACCCCATAGTGGCGTCCTTTTCAGGCGGGGCAGTGGGAGTCATCTCAGCCCTCATGCTAATAGAAGCTAACAATGTAGTCCAACAAGAGAAGAAAATGTGCAAATATTGCTATGGAAGTGGTATGTCCATGTGAAACTTATTACATATCATTGCACAATGTCTACACTATTGAACTCTTGAGTAATAGTTGATAACTTTTTTGATTATTTGAGTTCATGGTACTAGATTAATCGTCAAACGTGACCATAATCTCATTTCAT